GAAATTGGTTGATTGGATTTAAAAATGAAAATGAAAAAATAATTAAATCAAGGAAACAAAATGCAACAGCTGATCAACATTTATTCACGCGAACTAATCAAGGTTTAATGCGAGCCCCACTCAAGATTTTTATTTTCTTTTTCATTTTATAGGGGTTAAATACACCAAACCATCTCGTGAAATATAAATTCGGCGTATTAGCCCCTTGTGATTTTAAAAATGTGTCAAACCCCCTTGTGTTTTAATTAATTATGCGCAAAACCCCTTTCAAGAACAATTTTTATAATTTTGAAATCACTTTTTTTAATAATATGGTTGAATATGCAAGTAAGTTTGTCCAAATTTCTAAATTATACAAAAAAATAATCATTTTTCATTTATTTGGAAATTAAATTTGTTCTTGGAGGGGGTTTGGCGCATGATTAATGATAACACAGGGGGGTTTGACGCATTTTTTAAATCACATGGAGCTAATGCGCCGAATTTATATTTCACGAGGGATGTATGGTGCATTAAACCCATTTTTTAGTATACTAACCGTCTTTAAATCAGAAGTTAGAACATAAGTCAATATTACGAATATCTTACAATGATCGCAATATCAAATTTATGTTGCTTTCTCTTTAGACACTTAATTACTAAGTTGCTTTCTTCTTTTCCCCGAAGCTCGTTATTCTTTTTTCTTTTGCTTTTCTTTCTTTATTTTTCTTTTCTTCAACTGTTCTCCTTTTCCATGAAATTAAAATACTAAAAATTTAATTTCAATTTTTTTTGTTTATCTTCAACTTAAATTACAATTGAATCTATTTTTTTTATTCTTTATCAATACATAACAAAAAGTTTATTAATCTATGGAGTAAGTTTATTTATGTAATATTTTTTATATTCATACACTTTATTTGTAATATATTTTTTATATTCATACACTTTTTTGTAATATATTTTTAAATGGCTACACTTTTCTATAATAATTTTATATCTCTTTTATTTATTCACAAAAAATAAATTCGGTAGTATGTTTTAGAGGTTTTTAAGGCATTGTGTTTGTTTATTTTGATTCTTGGAGTTACATTTCATAACATATGAAATTACATCTAGATCTTCTTGTATGCGAGTACATCTTATTATGCGTGATTTATATCTATTTATGTGTGAGTTACATCTTTTTATGTACGAGTTACATAATTAAAGTACAACTGAATTAGCTTCTTTCATTACCAATCTATTACAAAATTTTATTAACCCACATAAAATAAGTATATTATATTTTCACAATGATACGCTACTTTTTTTTACTTTTTCTTCATCTTAAGTTACTACCGAATTTATTTTTTGTGCCTTTTTTGCACTTATACGCTTTTTTGTAAAATAAATTTCAAATTCATACTCTTTTTTCTATAATAAATTTCTTCTCTCTTTTATAGACACTAAATTTGTTTATTTCAATTTAAATCTGATAAAACATGAGATTTCATTTTTCATATGTGTGAGTTATGTTTATAGACATTATAAGGAGTTGCATTTGGTACTATGTGCAGTTATATCTTCTTATGCGTGAATGATATCTTCTTGTGCGTGAGTTACATCTTTTAATCCGGTAGTTACATTTGAGCTTGCCTCAACAAGTTACATTTTGCAGACCTAAGTAAGATTTTCCATTAACACGAGTTACATTTTCCATAACACGAGTCGCATCACAACATAAAGCCTTGCTATTGAAACAGACTAATCATTTTTTGCAATAAAAAATAATTTGTTTGGCAAAAAAAATGATTTCTTTGGCAAAAAAAAATGATTTTTTTAAATATTTTTATGCTCTTATTATTAAAAACCTAACATATTCACTATTTAATTAAACCCCTGCTATTGAAACAAAAAAACACTTTTTGCAAAAAAAAAAATTTTGGCAACAAAATTGATTTTTTCAGGAAAAACTTATTTTTCTTTAAATCATTTTTATGGGCTTAATACTAAAAAACATATTAATTATGTACGTAATTTTATTGAACAATTAGATTCCTTGTTTTCATTGTTTACATTTGATAGTATATGCAGTTACATATTCTTATGTGCGAGTTGCATTTTTATTATATGTGTGTTACATCTTTCTATGCGTCATTTATATTTGAGTTTGTCTCAACAAGTTACATTTTACATACACGTAAGTTATATTTTTTATCAATGCGAGTTACATATTTTATAACACGAATTACATCACAACATAAAGCCTACTATTGAAACAAAAGAATCATTGTTTTTTGCAAAAAAAAATGACTTTTTGGAAAAAAACAAAAGAATTTTTTAAAAACATATTAATGGCCTCAATATCCAAAACAAAATATATTCACTATTTAAGTTAACGCCTGCTATTGACATAAAAAATCACTTTTTTGCAAAACTAAAATCAATTTTTTGGCGAAAAAATGATTTTTTGTCAAAAAAGGTATAAAAAACATTTTTTAGACCTTAATATTAAATAGAAAACATTTTCATTGCTTACGTAAAGTAATTGAGCAATTAGACTCGTTGTGTTCATTAAAATGAATGTTTTATTTCTTATAATCCGTATTATACAAATTACATTTCGACTTGTGTGTATTAACATTTCTAATAACGTGAGTTACATTTTTTATACGCGAGTTACACAATTCTATAACTGGGACAAACAAAAAAACAAAAAAAAGTTATTGTTCATGTGCATGAACAGTAACACGTCTTCTATTTGTGGGAGGAGCATGCTCATTGTGGGCTGCTCCCACGGTATACGAAAGAGCAATTACTTATCCATTTTTTAATGCCACAAAATGGGCCAAGTCAAACTCATCAGACCAATAGACTACTTTGACTAAAATGGGCCTAAAGCCTTGTTGTGTGATGGTCTCATGTGGTTCTCTAAAACAGGATACTAACACATTCATTTAACGTGGAATAAATAGTATAATAGGTTAAAATTGTATAAACAATACTCATAATGATAATGTAGTTCCGTAAAATTATAATGTATTTCTTCAATTAAGATCATCATTATATTACTTTACAAAATAAGATTCATATTTTTGTTAAAGATTTAATTATTTTTATGTTATTAACACTTACTATGCCCTATTTTTAGATAAATGTTAATACTCATATTTATACATTTGACTCTTATTTATTTATTTACTCATATTTATAACAATTTAATTAAATGAAAATGAAAAAAAAAATCATTACAGGAATATGAGGAGCTTAGTTTATTTGTAAAAAGACCTCAAAGATAGAAAACAATCTACGTAAAAAAAGGATGACACCCCATCCCTGAGGGCCCCTCAACCCCGACCGGATAGTACGTTGGGAGGATATAGAAAACAATCTACGTGACCATATGGCATGTGTGTTTCAGACCAGGGAACCAGGGTCCACTAGGATGCTTTGTAAAAAAGTTTTTTCCCATACAAGGGTACTTTTCAATCTTATTTCCCTAATAGAGGGACAACAAAACTTATTTCCCAAATAAGGGTACGTTTGCTTTGTCACCTGACATGATCACTATGCTGACATGGTGGATGACAAGGCAAAAGTACACTTGTTTGGGAAATAAGTTTAGAAGTGCCCCTATTTAGGAAATAAGATTGAAAAGTACTCATGTATGGGAGGGAAAGAAATCCTTTGTAAAAACTAAAACAGAAACCATTCCTAATAAAATCTAAATAATTCTCTGATCCTTAAGTTTTTCGTTAAGTAATGCAAGTAACTATTTACTGTTGGAAATAAATTCAAATATGGGAATATGAAAAGTCTCTTGCAATAAATTATGTTGCATGGGAAATGAAGTTGCATAGAAAATTGATGTCTAGAGAAGTTGAAAGGTTGTCTAGGAGAATTAAAATGGCATCCTTAGAGAATTAAAGATACAACTAGAAACTAGTACTGCACTAATTATCTTGCCTTTTGTATCGCCTATATAAAGGCCACCATGTAAGATTTTGAGGTGAGTTGAAGTGAAGTAAATCTAAGTGAATTTATGCCCCACTACATATTGTGTGTGTTCCGTGTTTATATTTTCCGGCGAGCCTTCGGCCGAATTCCACTTAATCATGGGCCCTCAAATCTGTATCAGAGCCAAGGTTGGTGTAGTGAACAAAGAGAATGGCAACCACTATGTTCGGCCAACTCCCTCAGTTAAAAAAGACAAAATTGTTGAGGGAATGCTCAGATGAAAGCTTTGTTTAAAGTTCAAGGTGTGGGACGTCATTGAAAACGGATACACCACGTCGAAAGAAGAGACTGTGATAGCGGTCGCCCAACAGACATAGTTAAAAGGAGCTCAGAAGGACTAGACAACACTATTCTAGTTGCTTCAAGCTGTTGATGACTCCATCCATGAGAAAATAGCCGACTCTACTACTTCCAAAGAAGCGTGTGACACCATAGAGAAAGTGTTCAAGGGTGCCGAACGAGTAAAGCAAGATAGGTTACAGATCCATCATGGAGAACTGGAGTCATGATTTTTAACGACTACATCAACAGAGTGTTGGCCGTGACAACCCTAATGAAAAGGAACGAGGAAGCAGTAAGTGAAAGCCGAATAGTTTAAAAGGATTCTACAATAAAGAGGTCACATCTCTTAATAACTTGACATTACAGGAGTTCTCAGGATCATTGGAAGCAAACGAGAAAAGGAAAAACCTTTTTTTAATTTTTAAAAAAAATTAAAAATTTAAAAAAATTATAAAGTAAAAAAAACACTGCAGCCTCTACAACCCCCAGCACCACCAACTCCCATCATCGGAGAAAATCTGCCAAAATTTTTTATAATGCAATAATGATGGCAGATTCAATGAAAATGGTGGCATAATCTATAGATATATAATAACAAAAGAGTCTTGGAGGGAATTTGGGCGGGACATTGGATGGACAGCTGGAATTCAAAATTTAAAATCTGTATACAATGATTAATTCTGTTTGGAAAGGCATGATCAGTTGAACTTCTCAAAAAATTGATATATTCAAGATGTGCTGAATAATAAATTGAGGAAACGTGGGAACACGTAAAGAAGACCCTTGAACTTTTCAAAAAGGGACAAATAGATAAATATTCCAAGAAAAGCGCAAAGCCTTTAATACAGAGTACTCGGATTATGGTTTAAATTAATCTTTATCACAGTTGTCGATGCATAAATGACAATCCCATTGAAGTACTCCATTTGTTTTATTACAAACTCTCAAGTAAGAACATAGTGCTCTGCTTTCATCGAGTAATAAATTTTTTTAGCGCCTGCAAAATGAATAATCAAATCATTCATGTAACAGGCATCATGTAAAAGTCGGTGGTATACTTACGAAGAATAACATTACATCCTTGCACATTTTTATTCAACTCATTTCTTTGATCATTCATGTGTTACTTATCTCAAGATATCTGCCAAGAAGAAGCAGAGATTGGCACGTTAAAAGTTTAGCAGGGCACTCAGAGTCTATCCTGGAAATGCAATGTTCTTTGGTTTTCAGATTTCAACCTCGAACTTTGTTTTTGATGTTCATTTGACCGGTCATAGTTAGAAGATGTGAATATACGGAGTATAAAAGAGATTAGTGTTGAAGGCTTGAAGCACAACATGGAAGATGACATTGGACACATCAGCCATTATTCGACTGTAGAACAAGAACGACATCCATACAATTTCTTTGGCATTTTCTCTTTTTATTACGAAGTTATCTGTTTAAGTTTTTTGTTTTTACTCCAGGGGGCTTGGGGTTTGGGGGGTCTGGAGTAATTGAAACTCTCACTCCACTGAGTTTTGAAACCGAGACCTTCTATAAAGAAGAGTGAGTCGGTGTCCAGCTGAGCTGGTCCGCTTCCTCTTATCTGTTTAAGTATTACTGTGATTGCATAGTCAACTTCTCTAACCTATTCATGAAGTTATGAAGGCCACATTAAAATTTGAAGTGATCCATGAGGTCCTCTAAACATCTATTCGTTTTATAAAGTAAAATTCACACTACTGAGAAAAACTACTACGAATTATTCAAAAAATGGTCACAGATTATGCATAGATCTTGATTATTTGAATATTTCAAGTACTTAAAAATAAGCTCATAGGATTAACATCAAAACAAATCTGAAAATATGAATTCTTCTTTAAGGGAATTCTTATAATTTGGGGAACGTTTAAGGTTGCATGTCAAAGTTGTTGAAAATAAAAAGCTCATTTTTTTAAATAAAAAAAATTAAAAGCTCATTTATCAAAGGGAAATCACACTTTTAGTCCCTAAAATAGTCACCATATCGAAATGTCAGATCTGTATTTCGGAGATTGTAAATGTCAACCTCAATTGCCCAAATTGATGTAAATGTGATCCTTTGAGGGGTGAAATGTACTCCTCGCTCCGATTGTACATTTCACCCTCAAAGGACCACATTTATAGCAATTTTTATAACTGAGGAGTGACATTTACAAACTCGGCAACACGGATCTGTCATTTCAATATGGTAACTATTTGAGGGACTAAAAGTGTGATTTTCCCTATGTATTCAAAAGATGTCACCGATTTATGTATTGACATTGCAGCATGATATCCAATAAAACTATATTATCGATCTAAAGTATAAAAACAACAATGAGGGTAATATGCAAACAACAACGGTATGATTTGTCAAATCCTGCAAGGAAATGTAGGTATATTAAAAGTTAAATTAAAAATAATAATTCAATAAACAAAGTAGCACATAGGTATGTGGAACAACGTATCAATTTCATGATTTCTTGCTATTGATCAACTTTCACCTCAGATTTTTGGGGGTTATTGTATAAGAGATGATGGACTATTATAGTGGTGACAAATGCAGTTACATGCCTCGCAGCCAATAAAGAAAATAAAATATGAAAAGCTAGCTAAAATGATCTATAGTAATTCCAGCCAATATAATCAGAAAAGTAACTGCAACCTTACCTTTTCTTATAATTATACAATTCAATGCGCAAAATCAAATATTACGTGTTGGTGATAAATTTGACTGATAAGCCGAAAAACAAGGTCACCGAACAGGTTCTTACATATTTTGGGTGAATATTGTTGGATTGTGGGTAGCTATTTGATTTATTGGGTTTCGAATGTAATAAAAAATATTTTTAAAAAATGGGTAATATAGATTCTTCCAAAAAATGGATAATATAGATGTGAAACAAATTCAGTCCGAAAAATAGACATGGAATAAATTGTAATGAGTTTTTAATAAACATCGCTCCATCCCATAGATAGATTCATACTTTCCTTTTCTGCTATGTTTAAGAAACCGGATCGAGAGGCAACTCGGTTGTGTGACAGGAAATTCATACTTTTCTTTTCTGCTATCTTTTAAGAAACCGGATCGAGAGGCGACTCGACTATGTGTCAGGGTCACGGATCAATCCGGACCCGATCGGGTCAACCCGGTCAACGCCAAAAAATCGGTCAACAATGTAATAATAATAATATTCCGTAATAAACATATAATTATATACAAAGTTAAAATAAAAAGTAGTTATTCTCATACTTCCTCAATCCTTTAAAACTTTGTCAAATTTGACCGGCACAAGGATTAATTAATAAAGTAAAAACCATGTGGTTGGAATTTGTGGAGAGGAGAGAGAATAAACAGAAACTACAAATTCTTTAAAAGTTAAAACATTTAAAAGTTAAAACAGTCTCATAAAAATCCAAAATACCATTTTGATCTTATTAAAATAAATAATGAAGCTCTGTATTTGTTATTTTTATTGTACATTTATTATATAATTTGATATGATTTATTTTTTGAAACAAATACTCAGTAAGTAACAAGTATATGAATACATTGCATATTTTTCCTTTTGAGTATTGAAATTGGAATTTTATTGGTTGAAAATGCTTTAAAACAACCAAAACTGGGTTTTCCGGGTTTGTTGGGTTTTGGGGGTTCGGTTTGGACCGGATTTTTTCAGGTCGATCGGGTTTTCTGGGTCGGTTGAGTTTTTCCGGATTTTAACTCACCGAATCGGGTTTTGGTCTGGGTCACCGGGTATTTCTATGTTAGGAAATACGGAGTAATTAACAATAAAATGGAAATTCAATTAATAATAATTCCATTGAAAATAATGCATTTATAACATCACAGTTATCAATACTAACTCCAATATATTACATACCTATTAAAATTATTTCTCAAAATATATTTGAATTACCTTATTTAATTATTACTTAAATAAGCGCATCATTTTGTTATGACAACCTTTCAACGAGACGGAGGTGTAGTTTTTTTGAACTTGAAATTTGTGATGATAATGCACTAAATTCAAGTAACGTAAAATGTACGTTGCTCTTTCGCATGTTAGTCATCCCAATGGTTTGGAGATGCGTATATGTCACAAAAGAAGAGAGAGTTACAACATAACAACCGATGTTATGTTTCAAGAAGTATTTCAAAATTTGTAAAACATTTATAACTTTCATGTTTTAATACTTCCTCCGGTCCCAAATGAAATTCACACTTTGACTTCACACAAATTAAGGAAATAAATTTGACTTTACTGTAGAGCACAATGCCGTGACACTGTTTGACAGTACTGTTTAGCACTGTTTTGCATTGTTTTACACTGTTTTGATGTAGATAATTTGCCAAATAAGTAAGGGAGAAGAAGTGTGAAGTTTATTTTGGACCTACCCAAAAAGAAAAGTGTGAATTTCATTTGGAACCGGAGGGAGTATACTTTAATTGTGGAAATATTTTATTTCTTAGAAATTTTTGCTATCATTTAAATTTAATGTTCACATTATTACATTACAAGAATCAATTTTTTATGAGGGAAATTATTAAAGTATATGCATTATTCATATTATTCAAAAACTTACTTTGTCAGTGAAAAAAATATTTTCCCGTGCATCGCACGGGTATAATACTAGTGAAGAGTAATAATGACATTTCCTTGACATTTTCAAAAAAAATAGCATTTTTTAATAGAAGTGACAGAATTTTCACCGATCGAAGGTGGTGGTACTGGGAGGCGGTGGGAAGGGTATCCATATTTTTTTAAATAAATTTTTACTATTTTTTATAAAAAAAGAGTCAAAAAAAATTATTTTTTGAAATTTTTATTTTATAAATATTTTTTAATGGTTTTTTTTTACAAGAATATTACTAAAAGAAAATATATTTACATAAATATGACTATTCATTACTATGTGGTAACTTAAGTTCAAAACTTGAACATGAATTACTATGATTTCATTACTACTCTAGTCACTTATCATATTTTTTAAATCATCTTTATTTTGGTCATATTTATGTAATTATTTCCTTTTTAATTTTTCTTATTGTTTTAGGATTTTTTATTAATTTTTACGGTTTTTTATGATTTTATTATGAATTAAAACATTTCATTATGAAATATACTTACTAGAGACTCATTATTCCTATGGGTTTTTTCCTTCAATATTATCAAATTAAAGTTGATTTCCAAAAATGTGACCATTTTTTTAAAAGGACAAAAATGTGACTAAGAAAGTCACATATTTGGAAAAGTATTATATCACTGTATTTTTATGTCACTGCAAGATTATTATGTCACTATTCAAATGTCACTCTGACCACCGCCTATGTCACTGTGCCGCCGCTAATGTCACTGTGCCGCCGCTCGTGTCGCTACTGCCACCGCACTTGTCACTGACACCACCACACGTGTCACTAATGCCTTGAAAACATGTCACTTTGAAAGTCCACCACACTGATGACTTTTCCATCAAATCAGTCCCCCAACACCGCCACCGCCACCCTGTCCGCACCCCCTGCTCCCCGTACACCACCGGGCCACTAACCTTGGCCCTCCCCATCCCCATGCCCCCAGCCCCAGTCCTCCGCACCCTACCCCCTGACCAGCCACAGCCCCAACCCCAATCACCCTCCCCAGCCCCCAAATCCTCAGCCGCCACTGCCGGCAACCGCCTCCTGCCCATCTCCACCACCGTTCCAGCTGATAACCGCCGCAGACCATTGAACTATAACTGTCGCGCCACCTGCTTTGGTGACTCTCGAGACGTGGTCGCTTGTTTTCATCTCCTAGATCTGTTTTCGTCCACCCAAATCTGGTAACTTGGTCGTCGTCCCCCTTCGTATCCGGTTGCTTGCTGCTCATCTCCGAATCCCCTATTTGTAGAAGGTCCAAGTCGTCAGAGAAGAACACAGATTCGACCTTCGCCCTCTTCCACACCCGATTTGAAGAAGGTCGAAGCAACGGCTTCCTACTTTGGTGACGACGAAGA